TTCCAGCACCGCAACTCTTTGCTTAAGTTCCTGTACGGTTTTATCTGTAGTCTCTTGTCGCTCTTTCACTGTCTTAATTTCTGCAAGTAGGGCTGCTTGTCCCTGCTCGATCCTTTGTACAATGGCTAGTACAGTTTCTTCTATTTCTGTGGGACCAGGGTTTGTTTCTATGTCACCGGACAGTAACAGGGCCATGTGCGATAAAAGGACGTTGGCATACGAATTTAGGCACAAACACAAAAAACTACGCCATCTCAAGTCGTAGGGGCACGACATCGCAAGTAAACAATGATCATTACTACTATAATCTTTAGTACAGTCGAGGTAACTAACCTGTAGTAGAAGTAGAGATGAGTGCATTGCGTCGTTGGCGATGTCGTGCCCCGACGAGTGGGCGTCTACTGGTCGTTTATATAGCGGGCACAGTGTGTTCCCGCCGAAAAGCGTCGACGATCCAGGTTGGCATCCGTGTTGGAAGGGTGGCTTCACTTTTGGCCAAGTTTGCGATAGAGCAGGCGGCCGGGCTTGTTGGTTTCCGTGCAGACCTTGCGGTGTCCATCGTTGGCATGCGCGACCGTAGTCAGTGGGCTCAGTGGGGCTGCCGGCGAGCGACAGCACCTGAAGTAGAGGTGAGTGCATTGCGTCGTTGGCGATGTCGTGCCCCGACGAGTGGGCGTATACTGGTCGTTTATATAGCGGGCACAGTGTGTTCCCGCCAAAAAGCGTCGACGATCACGGTTGCCATCCGTGTTGGAAGGGTGGCTCCACTTTTGGCCAAGTTTGCGATGGAGCAGGCGGCCGGGCTTGTTGATTTCCGTGCAGATCTTGCGGTGTCCATCATTGGCATGCGCGACCGTAGTCAGTGGGCTCAGTGGGGCTGCCGGCGAGCGACAGCACCTGTAGTAGAAGTAGAGGTGAGTGCATTGCGTCGTTGGCGATGTCGTGCCCCGACGAGTGGGCTTATACTGGTCGTTTATATAGTATCCTGCTACATTTTACCAAAATATGTGTAATCTGCACCAAGCCTGCGCCAAATAACCAATATCGGTCACCTATCGACACCGCAACTAAACTGGGTACCGTAATTGAGCATGCGTGTGTTATGTGGCGCAAGCGGCAGCCCGACACGAAATACCCATGCACCAATCGCCCATCCGGTCTTACATGGTTTTCACGCCGTCTCGTGTTTCGCGCTCCCGTCGTCTCGTCTCGTGGGTCTCGTCTGGCGTTGTTATTTTTTAATATTTCATCGATAAAAGCGGGTACGTGCGGACGCTCCGACGCTAGCTTGCCGGGTACCAGCCATGCTGTCATGCTGTGAAACGAAACTACGTCGGGAGTTATTTTGTGAGCTGAAGCACTCGCTCCTGAAAGCAATGGCGGTGGGTAAATTATATTTGGTCCTTGCCTTCCGCTCACCATGGTTGCTTGACGTCGAGTGTTGCCGTCCCCACGTCGCAGGAGATATAGAGGCTTCAATAATGAAACTAAGTACCACCTCATGTTCATCAACATTCCTGTTTTTGTGTAATTCATGCTGTGTCGAAGTATTGATTCTTTAGGTTTCTTTCGGTGCACGGGCTTTCTTTCTAGAGATACCCCGGTACATGAAACATATGTCGCGAAAGAAAGTTGGTGAAGAGAAGTGAGCTAAAGCCAAGAAAGCAATGTTTTCACGCTGAACCCGCACAGCGCGCTTGTTTGTCTCGAGTCCAGTCCTTGCACAAACCGCTCCAAGAACGTTTTGACCCTGGCCCGCGATGTCTTGCATCGATGCACTCAGAGTTTTTTTTGTGAGTATGTATAGCTTGTACCTTGTTTGCCGGCCTGGCAAGCACGCGCCGCTTGTCTGTTTTTGGGTTGTATGCTCGACAGCTACATTTTGCATATAATTTTGGGGATCAAGGTTGCGACGGAGCGGAGTGGCATAGTTTCGGTTTCGATCGAACAACCGTTGTCTCCGCTCGTGCGACGAAGCATGCGCAACTGCAAGCCTGCCGAAGTTGCCCTCCCGTGCATGCGAGTATGATTGTATGACAGAGGCGCCAGCCGGGATGTTTTGAATTCATTGTTTTACGTTTGCATACTTTGACAACATCTGGCACGTCAGGAACCAGTGAAACGGTGGCAAACGGTTTTTAGTAATTGCTCAGCAACGCTGCCAACACTGTACACTTGAGGGATGTCTCGGCAGTAAAAATAAAAACTCCGGCAGCGAGTTCCGTCACAACACGTCACGTCAGAAAACAACAGAACACAAACTGCCGTTCGTTTATACACCACTTAAAACAAATACTTTTGTTCTTCAAAGAGTATTTGTTCTAGAAGCCACATTTAATGCTCGAAGACGCTGTTTTGGTTGCTCCAAAGGCCACCTTTGCCGCTCCAAAAGACTGTTTTGGCTGGACCGAAAGGTGCTCTAAAATAGCTTAGGTCACATCACTGCGTGCCCTTAAATTTTATTACCTTTTCAATTCGCAAAAATTAAGGGCTCGCGAGTTTTAAAAGTTTTACAGTACTTCACAAAACGTGAGTCTATGTTTACGCAACGCATGATCATGTAAACATACCATGATCGCATCAACTTACGTGATCGCCTAACGTCCTTTTCTCATGTCGCCAGAGTGGGTTGCAATTACAGGCGGGCGAGCGCCATCTCTCAGAAGTTTGCACACCGCCAGCGGCTCTCTCATTGTTGAAGCTCCTGTTCACACTCGCTCGCACAGCCTTCAGCAAATCTAACCACATAAAACAGTGTGCGTTAATGGCCGAGAGCTCTGGTGTCAGGCAATCTGTTTGCTCGTATCCTGAAAATTTTGAACCTTGCTAATGCACACCTTCCTAATCCAAAACTGACTTCGAAAACCTGTAGGTTTCAAAGACGGTTTCAAACAAGAAAACCAACACCAAAGTCAACTTCGAAACCTGGGGTGTTTCGAAGTGATTTTTGGTGTTGGTTTCCGAAAGGACACGTCGGTTTAGTGAGAACGGGAGCTAAGAGAATTTTTGGCTTAAAATCACACTCATATCAATGCCGCCTTTATTGTTCTCTGGCTGAATCAGTTCAGCAGTTATGTGCAGAAGGGAACTCTACCGACGACACCCTGTGTTGCCTTTTCAGGATTCGATATGGAGACAGCGAAAAGCGTGACCGTTTACGTTGATATAGTTCGGCTTTTTGAAGTGCAAGATGCGGAGGATGGCTTGACTGCGGTCATGGCGTTCTACTGACTTTTTGGCTTCGCGAATTGCCAGAAGACATACAATACGAGCTGCAGTCTTCTGAGGTTTTGCTTTCTCTTAACCTACTCGCAGCTATGGCCAGTTGCAATCAAAAAGACACTTGCAGCCTGATTGCTGATAACATAGTGCGATCGCCGAAGTCTGGTGTAACTCCTGCATGATAGTTTTGAGTTTCGAAATCACTAAAGGCTTTGTATATTTTTCTTGAGATGGCGGCTGCAAGTTGTGTGGCTCACATGTCTCAGTATGCTTAAATTTATGACCAGCTTTGTTAATTTATACTCATCACGTTTGTCTAGTCCTATGTGTTGTTTCCTAGTCAGCAAACTATTAGGCAACTGTTTGGAGTAGTTACTTTTTTTAACGTTTTTATCAAAACAGTTTGTGTCACCATGTCTGGAATTCAGCACCCTTACCACAAAGTGTCAGATTAATGTAATCCTGAGGTACTTCCCTAAATATGGAGATGACTGGCATTAAAACCTTATTACTTTATCGCTCCTTTTTAATTTACATTTAGTTCAGTCAAAAGACATCACCAGTGTTCAACGTTTCCATGTAAGTTAAATGCTTTGGTTCATTTTGTTCATATCCTGGTCATTTTTCACAGAGCAGTGCAATGCTATATATAAAGAGTCCTGTTTGGCTATTCATTTAAAACTGGTTTTCAAATAAGGTGTTTAACTAAGTCTTCCTTTTTTTTGAGGGAAGTTCAAGGTGTAAAATTGTATGACACGCCTAGAAATAAAGACATAGCAAATAACCAATGGTTGCAATTAGATTCTTGTTTTCGTTAGTACCTCTATACGAGATGTCCCCAACCCATGATTGAATTCACACTAACCTTTGTGCTCTTTCGAAATTTGAGAAGTGGACAGTGAAGGTTTTGTTACGGTTTTTTCAGAATAAACATTAAAAGAGTCAACAGAGAAAAAGGGATCCGAATTTTAAATGTTATAATGAAGATGTATAGTCTGCTAGCCCCATCCCAGCAGAAGCGTTTCAGCCTGGATAAATCGAGCCTTTACGAGCACGTACTAAGCAGTACGGAAGGTTATGAGCCCACACAAAATGTGGAGCTTCTGCTGCGTGTTCTTGTTTTGCAACAGACTGTAGCTCTCCTCAGAGAATATCGCATTTTCAAATTATCAAAAATGCTATTTTTTTTTTAAATAAAAACCAGGCATTGTTGTACATTTGTAACATTGTGGCTTTCTCGAAGAAAGCGGGCGTTCTGAAGTTGTTGCCGAAGGCTTGCCAGGGTGACAACACAGTCGAATGCGACAAGTACGAGCTTGTACACGCTCTACCGCAAGCTTTTGTTCTGCAAAAGCACATCGCAAAGTCGCTGTCGCGTGCCTGCAGTCTTCGCTTCCCTACGGTGGTAATGGTGGGCAACATCGGCTGACACAAGATGTCCCGTTACTGCCACACTCCGTTTCCCTTTAAGTGCGAGTGAAGCCGAAAAGCCAAGTACGAACCTGTTGTTTTGAACGACGTATGCGCACTGCACGAGTGCAATTGCCGAGCAACATTCAAAGCGCGGAGCTTGCTCTTAAAGCATCTGCATCGTGCTTCTTGTTGCAGATCGTGATACAGAAGCAAGGTTTCGGGCGGACACCTTTCATGAGGAGAAACTCCACCTACATTGCACTGCTCCGACCTGTACTTGGAGCACTTAGTTGCGGTACTTTAGATAAAACAGAACACTATGTTCTGTTCTATAAACAAAACACTTTGTTTATAATGGTACTTTTTTCATGCTCTATGAGCTTGAAGAATTTATTCTGAGCAGGGCTTGAATGCATCCAACCCCCATAAAACACTTTTTTTAAGATCGTTTTACAATTTTGCTTGCGTGAACTAAGAAACTATCCTGAAGATAATATGGATCCCCGGCCGGTTTTTCACTCCACATCTTGCGAATAATCTCCGTTACGTCGATCTCAAACAGCCTCTTCGATTCCTTGGACAGCAATGGTGCAATGGGATCTATAGCCAGTTCCATTTCTGAAAGAGAAGGGGAGGGGGGAGCAAAACATTTTCCCTGTTTTAGTTAAAAAGATTAACACGTGAAACAAAATACCACACATTCCGGTCTAAACGTCCCAGCTTTTTATAGGTCGCAACCGACTATTTTCACAAGAAATGTTCGCATAAAATTCGCTCATATGTATAAGTCTCACGTATATATTTGTACAGTGGGCGCGGCGACACTGAAATTAAAGGCCATCTTATATGTATAATGATCGAAAAATACGCGTAACCGCCATGAATATTGAAAATTTTTGACAAAGAATTGAACTAAATTTTTTTGAGGACACTTTTCCGCTGATATCAGTCGCATGGTTGTATGCGCCAAAGGAAAGTTTCGGGAAAAAAACAGAACAAAAACAACTTGCTCACTGTAACATGCGATAGAAATATTATATCACTATTTCCTCTCTAAAATTCGCCTCCTCGGCTGCAGAGCACCGGATATGATTGGGTCCATGGAGAAAACTCGAGACTGAATGTAGCCAAAAATATATTAAGATCTAAAAATGAAGTCTGGGCTCTGTCAAGTTCTCTGCCGTGAGCCTGCGAATAGTCAAGCTCAGTGTCACAATACAAACTTTATGATGCAAAATTGCGTCCTTACTGAAGCTAAACTGGCTTTTAAAAGTGAAACGTGCCGAGTTAGGAGAGAGTTGCCCGGCGGCCAGACACTTGCGCTGCGAGTTCCACTTGCCGCACAATGCAACATCGAGATAAACACACAGACCGACATACAGACACACACAAACACACGCGCACACACACACACACACACACATACACACACACGCACGCCCGCGCGTGCACACGCGCGCGCACAAACAGAAACCCACACACAAAAGTAAACGTGAGAGACAGGTTTGGGAAACTCAGAGACGCTTTTGAGATTTCGTCAGAGGCGAAAGCTTCGAACCCAATTTAATTTAAGCAATAGGAAGAGTAGAAACAAAAGCAGGACTTGGTGCGCTGACATGGCGTGGCATGCCTGGAAGGCTGAGGTTGGAGTTATCGTCTGCTGTGTTCCTCATTAAACGCAATTCTGCATATTGCTACGCACGAGCCGCCAAGCGAACGCGTGCGTGGCCGAATGGTTACCGCGCTTGACTGTAACGCGGAAAGTCTTGGTACGAGTCCAGCCAGCGGATTGTCCTTTTATTTGTTCTTTCAACTTGGCGTTCTGGAACATTCTCGTTTTATCGAGTTACGAATGTTCTACGAGCCGAAAGTTCTGCGCCGAATATTCCCGAAACCAACGAGGCGACATAAAGGACTCCGCCTGGCGAGCGGAGTCAGTCTCGCCCCAGCGTTCGACTGCTGTTACGTTGACTTCGACGCCCGCGACGCCCGCGACGCTCCGTTGTTCCGTTGTTATCTCCTGTTCACTTTTTGTTTTGGACGCAAGTTCGCCCCAAGAGAACGTTTCAGGTTTCTCAGGTATACTTTGTTTCATCACATCGTCTTTCTTGACAATATTATGAGTTCCTTCAACAGCGCTAAATATACCTGCAAATTCTTTTATACCGATAGCTTTTAGGAGTTGGAGTCTCAAAAAAGTCGACATCGGCGGGACGGAAAAATCAAGATTGGTCGATTAGTAATACATTCGCCTTAAAGGAAGAATTCGAAAGAACATTAGGCTGAGCGGGATCGAACCCTCGACCCCTCGGTTGCGAGCGTGACACGCCACCGACACGGACATGCAGAGACTTTTTTTTCTTTAATGCAAAAACAAAACACAAGACTCCAATCACTTTAAAAACAATGTACAACAATGTTTGTAGCGCACATTAAAAACCTCTCATATCTAGAAGACGTTCAGATAGTTTTAGGCAGCGGGGCTTCGACTGCGAATCTTAAAAAAACACTTTCCACTCCTCTCATGAAGCTGAAAAAGTAATATCCCATCTCTTGAGCATTGGTGGGGTCGGCATGGCGGACCGCCATGCGCAACCCCATATGCTACACAATCTAAGAAGCATAATCAAATCAAAAGGAACGCCTGCGTCATTCGTTACATTCATGAAGCAAATGCCGGTTGGGCAACTGTTTCTTTAGTGTACGCTGGTAGACTTCCCAATAAAATACTGCATCCCCGCAAAATACACAAACGTGGCCGATAGTTTTCGGTTTCTCTCATAAACCACAGTCAGTCGACCATTGTTCATAAATCCCTTTTTCCCTGAGCCACACCTTGACGGGTAAAGTGTTGGTGTGCAACTTGAAAAAGATGATATTAACGGAGGGAGGGAGACAAGATTCCTTGACCCGCTTAAAGGGGCCCTGCAATCATATTTAGGCGTCTACCTTTTTTTGCGGTTTCCACGTCTCCTAGGGTTCGGGCAAGCCAGCGGGCACGGAGAGAGTAACCAAATATCAGTGCGTCATATTTTAACCGGCTGACGCGAAAACCTCCTTCACCAACGGGGGCGACCCGCGGTGCCGAATGCGCGCAATATGTGACGACATCGTGACGTTTTAGGTCCTGGACTTTCTACAGGTCAGAGCCGCTAAAAGCTTCTTTTTTAATCGGAATACAAAAAAATTTGTGAAGGGAGCCGTTTCAAATATTTATAAAAGTAGTTTTTGTAGAGTATTTTAGTTCAGAAAAGACACAAATGCAGTTTATAAAGTGCGGAAACAAGGAATGACCCGTCGACATACCCGCCACCAAGCGGTTGAAAAGGCGGCGTATACTAGAATGGTGCAGTGCGATCAGGCACAGACGAGCGGCGAGCATAGAAAGGTCCCGGATGTACGCGGCGGCGCTGCAGTCGAGGATTCGATCGGTTCCGATAGTTCGGAAGGCCTTCGGTGAGCAGCTTTGGCTTGTGGTTTGGCTTTTTGGCGGTATGGCAGCGCGAAGTGGCTCCCGTTCGGAACTGATCTTTACCCCGTGTTTGCTGTCGTTTCTGGCCGATGAAGTGGCATGCTGAATTAGTGTTTAATCCCACAGCAAATTCAATGCCAGCCGCCCTGGCTGCCCCTTCATACAGCCTATCCAGAACATGCTTTAGTGGCGCCCTCTCGAGCCGTAGACACGGAGTGTGGCTGCCGTAAGCGCTTGCTGAGCTCACTACTCCCCCTCTAGTTTCACGACCACTCAAGCAACTAAGGACGTTATGAAGGAGGTTATTTCTTGCTTGTTTTTGTAATTTTAATTTACCTATAACTAGGCTGTACACTTTCCTGTTTTAACCGAAAAACAGCAATAAACATCTGTCGGTGTCGAAACTACAAAATCTGTTAAAACCGAAAAACACCGGTTCTTTCAAATTGTCGAGCAAGCGCTAGTTTTTTCCACCGCGAAAGTCCTGTATACTTTCGAATTTTTCTTGAAAAACATCAATAAACTTTCGCCAGTGACGGAAATAAAAATCGTTCAGAACAATAAAAAAAAAAAAAAAACTCGGTTTCTAAAAATTCTTTTTTCGGAATGTTGTGTTCGACTTTTTTTTTTTTTTTTTTTGCACTGAAAAGGTTTTAGGCAAACTTCCGTCAAACATATTGTCTTACCAGGAATCATGCACTTGGCATGTCTTTCTTTTGCGACCTATATGGTCTTGGACTCTTGGAGGACAGTAGGTTTGTTCCACAGTTCTCGAAGGTCAGCGGTCCTCCTGAGCCGCCGAGCTTGAAGATCACTATCAGCGGCCCGAGAGGCCTATCACAGCTGGCCAGTACTGTCACAAGCATCGTTGGACGTTTTGGGGCTTCCCGTGTCTAGCGCAAATGTTGAGCGGGCATTCTCGAAATTGTGCGTCGTCAACAGGAAGGAGTAGCGTCAATGACAGACACGAGCCTAGGAACGTTCGCTTTCATATACTACAATAATCGAGTGTGAAAGAGATTGTGTAAAAGATGTAAATAAAATTTGGACTGTTTTCCGTCTCCAGTGGTAGTTTACATTCGCAATTTTCCCCCAATAATAACCGTTTTTAGCGTCTGGACGAGAGAATTCACCGAAAAGCACCAGTACTGGCGAAATCAATAAATACCGATAAACATCCGCCGATTTTTGTCATAAATAAACACCGGGAAGTATACACCCTACCTATAACTTTTAAAATAAATCGAAATTCGAGAAAACAAAAGTATCATTATGTTACTATGTTCAGTGCGCTCAGGTTCGGAGCAAATAAAAAAAAAAACAAAAAAAAAAAAACAGTAAACACGTCCTTGCAGGGCCCCTTTAAAGGGGCCCTGCAATCATATTTAAGCGTCTACCTTTTTTGCGGTTTCCACGTCTCTTGGGGCTCGGGCAAGCCAGCGGGCACGGAAAGAGTAACTAAATATCAGTACGTCATATTTTAACCGGACGACACGGAAACCTCCTCCACCGACGAGGGCGACCTGCGGTACCGAAAGCGCGCAAAATGTGACGTTTTTGGTCCTGGGCTTGCCACTGGTCAAAGCCGCTAAGAGCTTTTTTTTAGTCGAGATACAAAATATAAGTGTCGCGAACCGTTTCAATTATGTATGAAAGTAGTTTTTGTTCACTATTTTAGATCAGAAAAGAAACAAACGCAGTTTAGAAAGTACGGAAGCGAGAAATGACCCGTCGACATACCCGCCACCAAGCGGCGAAAAAAAACAGCGCATACTAGAAAAGGATAGTGGGATGAGGCTACGACGAACGAGGAGCGTAGAAAGGTCCCGGATGTACGCGGCGGCGCTGTGGTCGTATACCGGCTCGAGAATCCGACCGGTTCCGAGCGTTCCGAGGGCCTTCGGCGCGGGCCCTGCTGGCAATTTGGCCATTTGGCGGTGCGTCAGCGCGAAGTGGCTCCCGTTTTGAACTGATCTTTACCCCGTGTTTGCTGTCGTTTGTGGCCAATGAAGTGTTATGCCGAATTAGTGATTAGTCACGCAGCAAATGCAATGCGAGCTGCCCTGGCCACCCGCTTCATACAGCCTATCCAACACGTGCTTTAGTGGCGCCCTCTCGAGCCGTCGACACGGAGTGCGGCAGCCGT